GGACCACGGCGGTTGCCCCTGGCAACGGGTAGAGACGCGTTCGCTGCGGGGTGGACGCCATTTTGAATTCCCGTTAAAATATGCGCACGCATTAACACGCGATTCTGAGGTAAATTCATCAAAGTTTCACGTCCTCTTCACTCCCCTTCCACCCCAATGTGTGCAATTACTATTATAGGGTCGGTAGATAATAAAATTATAGCGATTAGACAGTATTATTGTAGCGCGTGGGGGGGGGGTATTGGCCCCAGTACACACCCTCAGCCGGGTAGGCAATCTAGGCAAGGCCGGAGGCTCTGCACGGTACTAGGCCTCGACACCCCACCCGTGTCAAGCGACGACTTTGTGGTATAAACTTGATATACCCGGCGTTGCCCGGGGGGAAAATACATTTAAAATCTTCTGAAAACTTTAAAACATTACATACCAATGAAAATACAAGTGTGTAATTACTTTTAAACCCGACGCGCCAAGAATCGATTCTCTGAATCGCGAAAAGGAATCGAAGGTTGTAGATTCCTTTAGATTCGGACGATTCCCGTTTACTTTAAGTTGGTTAAAGTCGATATAAACTGCTACGAACGGGAAATATCCGGCGTTGACCGGGGCAAAAATGTTATTAAAAACTCCTGAAAACATTAAAACATAACGTATCAATGAAAATAAAACTCTGTCATTCAAAATGTAAACCCCCAACATGCCAGGAATCGATTCCTTGAATCGCACAAAGGACGAATCGAAGGTTGTAGATTCCTTTAGGATCGCGCTTAACGTGGTGAGGGGTGAGTGGTGAGGGGGAGAGTGGTGAGGGGGAGAGTGGTGAGGGGGAGAGTGGTGAGGGGGAGAGTGGTGAGGGGGAGAGTGGTGAGGGGGAGAGTGGTGAGGGGGAGAGTGGTGAGGGGGAGAGTGGTGAGGGAGAGAGTGGTGAGGGGGAGAGTGGTGAGGGGGAGAGTGGTGAGGGGGAGAGTGGTGAGGGGGAGAGTGGTGAGGGAGAAAGTGGTGAGGGGGAGAGTGGTGAGGGGGGAGAGTGGTGAGGGGGAGAGTGGTGAGGGGGAGAGTGGTGAGGGGGAGAGTGGTGAGGGGAGAGTGGTGAGGGGGAGAGTGGTGAGGGGGAGAGTGGTGAGGGGGAGAGTGGTGAGGGGGAGAGTGGTGAGGGGGAGAGTGGTGAGGGAGAGAGTGGTGAGGGGGAGAGTGGTGAGGGGGAGAGTGGTGAGGGAGAAAGTGGTGAGGGGGAGAGTGGTGAGGGGGAGAGTGGTGAGGGGGAGAGTGGTGAGGGAGAGAGTGGTGAGGGGGAGAGTGGTGAGTGAGGGAGAGGGTGGTGAGGGGGAGAGTGGTGAGGGGGAGAGTGGTGAGGGGGAGAGTGGTGAGGGGGAGAGTGGTGAGGGGGAGAGTGGTGAGGGGGAGAGTGGTGAGGGGAGGTTGAGTGGTGAGGGTGAGTGGTGAGGGTGAGTGGTGATTGGTGAGGGTGAGTGGGGACGGTGAGTGGTGAGTGGTGAGCGTGACTGGTGAGGGAGAGTGGTGAGGGAGAGTGGTGAGGGAGAGTGGTGAGGGTGAGTAGTGAGTGGTGAGGGTGAGTGGTGATTGGTGAGGGTGAGTGGTGAGGGTGAGTGGGGAGGGTGAGTGGCGGTTGTTAGTGGTGATTGGTGAGGGATGAATGGTGAGGGTGAGCGTGAGTGGTGAGGTTGAGTGGTGAGCAGTGAGGGTGATTGGTGAGGGTGTGATTGGTGAGGATGAGTGGTGAGGGTGAGTAGTGAGGGTGAGTGGTTGTTGTGAGGGTGAGTGGTTGTTGTGAGGGTGCGTGGTGAGGGTGAGTGGTAAGAGTGAGTGGTGAGGGTGAGTGACGGTTGTGAGAGGTGATTAGTGAGTGGTGAGGGTGAGTGGTGAGGGTTAGTGGTGAGGGTGAGTGGCGGTTGTGAGTGGTGATTAGTGAGGGGTGAGTGGTGAGGGTGAGCGTGAGTGGTGAGGGTGAGTGGTGAGGGTGAGCGGTGAGGGTGAGCAGTGAGGGTGAGTGGTGATTTGTGAGGATGTGATTGGTGAGGATGAGTGGTGAGTGGTCAGGGTGAGTGGTGATTGGTGAGGGTGAGTGCTGAGCGGTGAGGGTGAGTGGTTGTTGTGAGGGGTGAGTGGTGAGAGTGAGTGGTGAGGGTGAGTTGTGAGGGTGAGTGGTGATTGTTGAGGGTGTGATTGGTGAGGATGAGTGGTGAGTAGTGAGGGTGAGTGGTCACGGTGAGTGGTGAGGATGAGTGTTGAGGGTGAGTGGTGAGTGGTGAGGGTGAGTGGCGGTTATGAGTGGTGATTAGTGAGGGGTGAGTGGTGAGGGTGAGCGTGAGTGGTGAGGGTGAGCAGTGCGGGTGAGTGGTGATTGGTGAGGGTGTGATTGGTGAGGATGAGTGGTCAGGGTGAGTGGTGAGGGGGAGTGGTGAGGGTGAGTGCTGAGTGGTGAGGGTGAGTGGTGAGAGAGTGGTTAGTTTTGAGGGTGAGTGGTGAGGTTGAGTGGTGAGGGTTAGTGGAGAGTGGTGAGTGGTGATTGGTCAGTGGTGATTGGTGAGGATGAATGGTGAGTAGTGAGGGTGAAGTTGAGTGGTGAGGGTGAGTGGTGGTTGTGACGGTGAGTGGTGAGGGTTAGTGGTGAGAGTGAGTGGTGAGGGTGAGTGGTGATTGGTGAGTGGTGAGGGTGAGTGGTGAGGGTGAGTGGTGAGGGTGAGTGGTGAGGGAGATTGGTGAGGGAGGTTGGTGAGTGGTGAGTTGTGAGGGTGAATGGTGAATAGTGAGTGGGAGTGGTGAGTGGTGAGGATGAGTGGTAAGGGTGAGTTGTGAGTGGTGAATGGTGAGGGTGAATGATGAGTACAGTCAATATGCACTGCTGTTATCATACCAGGTACCACCACCACAATATGTACTCCTCTCATCATAGCAGATACCACCACAGCAGTATGCACTGCTGTAATCATAGCAGGTACCACCACAGTCAGTATGCACTGCTGTCATCATAATAGGTACCAACACAGCAGTATGCACTGCTGTAGTGATAGCAGGTACGACCTCAGTCGGTATACACTGCTGTAGCGATAGTAGATACTGCTATCGAGTTGGTAGATACCGCTATAGTAAATACTAAAACAGTCAGTATATACCACTACAGTCAGTCAATACTGCTACAGTCAGTATATACTACTATACAGTCAGTACATATTGCTACGGTGAGTAGCTACTAGAGTCAGTAGATACTATTATAGAGTGAGTAGATACTGCTATAGATTTTGTAGTTACTACTATAGTCAGTGGATACACTATAGAGTCAGCAGATACTATACAGTTAGTCGTTACGAGTATATAGTCGGTAGATACTACTGTAGGCCCAGTAAATACTACTATGGTCAGTAGTTATTACAGTCACTAAATACTACTACACAGTCAGTAGCTACTACTGGCTCAGTAGATACTACGGTACAGTCAGTAGATACTACTACAAAGTCAATAGATACCACTTACTCTGTTGTATGTAAGGTGTTGTTAGTATATATACCTACGAGGGGTAAAGATATTTTTTGAGGGGGGGGGGAGACCACAATTTTCGGAAACATTTTGACATCAACTATTTACCCCACACTTTCTACAACTTTTTGGACTTGTGAAAGCCTCTTATATACAATACCTTAGTATCTGTGTATATATATGTAAGGTTTTTAAGAAAGATATTTTTCACCCGGGCAAAGCCGGGTACTTCCGCTAGTAAACCATATAGTACGGTGTAGACTCGTGTGATGTAAGAGAATAAAGTTTAGATGGAAGCATATTATATTTTTTACAACGTAGAATTGTAATGTATTACTTACTGTTAGTAACTCAGCTTATTGTAGAGTATATTTAGTATAATGATGATACTATGTAGTTTATACTTTAGTTGTTTATGTGGTGGTTTTAGTTACTGCAGCTACATACTATTAACACTTCTTCCCTTTATTAATGCTACCCCTATCCCCTCCCTGTGATGCTGCTAATCCTGCATAATGCACGGGCAAAGTAGCACTAATCACATACCTGCATTTCCCATATCCCCTCCCTTGGATACCGCTAATCCTGCATAATGCACGGGCATAAGTAGTACTAATCACATACCTGCATTTCCCATATCCCCTCCCTTGGATGCTGCTAATCCTGCATAATGCACGGACATAAGTAGTACTAATCACATACCTGCATTTCCCATAAATATGCTAAATTCCTCTTGATATGCAAATAATTTTGTCAAGGCGCCCTTTCCCCCCCCCTTCCAACCCAGCTTATATATATGCTCCAAGCACGTGTGCTGTTTCATTCAGACGCTGTCGCCTCGACAGACCTGGTTTCACCTGAGGACAGCTGCTTGCGTTGTGGCCGAAACGTCGTGAGAATTATTTTATTATGTTTTATTTTTATTATTTTATTACTTCCCTTCTACGTGACTTTACCGAAAGAACCAAGAAGATAGTATCATCATGTTCTTTTTACATGACAAACCTTACTAATTGGCTGTTGGGTGGTGGCGGGTTTAACGACACATTCATAATTACGCGATCTAACCCAAAAAAACCCTATATTATGGATGATATTGGTCGCAAAAGCCTATGTGTTAAACTGACGAACCTCTTTGGGGAGGATACTTTTCTTCCTAATGATGCGAGTTGTAATTACGGGATGAAACGTCATACTCAGATTGTAAATGTGTGCGGCGTGTTACAAGTTGAAATTATTATTGACAAATGTCCAACAGTAGTTATCAAGTTGTATATTACTTCTACTCCATGATTTTGAATCTTGTGAACGTGCTTATCAATCACGATGCATTCTTGACATGCATCAAACTACTCTAAAGGATATTTAACAGATGCTCTATATATAAAATTCATGTTCATATCGTTATTGTTTGCTGTTATTTCATTTAGCTTGGTCTCTATTTTGTATGGATGCTTATCGATCTGTTTAGCCTAATATAGATTTTGTGTTTTGTCTCTTAACAGGAAATTATCAGAAGGCTTTAGAAACCTATAAGATGGTGCATGTGCAGTTTCCAGAAAACGTGGAGTGTAAGTATGATGCACTGTGCCATGCTTACCGGTATATCCATCGCCAGGGTTTCACATTCGTGTTTTATTCATCTTCAGTTATCCTGTACATTAACCATGTCCATTGATATTGAAAGGTTTGCACATTTCATATAAGTCAGTCAGTTTAAATCTTGACTTAAAGCTTTCGTGACTGCAGGAATTCATATTCTTGGGTCTTTCGGTAAAGTCACGTAGATAGGTTCAAATAAAATATATTTGGTTATTTTCTTTGAATCTATCTACGTGACTTTACCGAAAGACCCAAGACTAGTCAGTCAGTTTATTTAGGTGAAGGCCCGTTGAGCTAATAAGCCCTTTTTCAATGAGGACCCAGTCAAACCATGTTTCAAAATGGCTGAGCACATTACATAGGATGGGAGGATTTACAAGGGCTGTTTTGTGCGGATGATGTGACGGTAGCTAGCACATTACACGGGAAGGGAAGGTCTACAGGGGCTTCATAGCATAGCTGGTACGACGGTAGCAAGCACGCTACATGGGAAGGGAGGGTTTACTTTGGCCAATAATAAATAATACTAAATCAGAACTATATACAATGTACATACAATTTACATAGATATCACCTAAGCAGACGCTATCTAGGTCAAACCTTTGGAAATGCCTTGTCAGGCTCCTACCGAAATTTGTATAATCCACTTACATTTTTTCCTTTCCAATTTCTATCGAAAATAACACAGCAGCTGCATGCACACCTGTTTGCAGATTACAAGGGAAATGTAGATTTACAGGGACTTTGAATCTACCTTCTCTTTCAATAAAAGTGGAAGAATATGAGTAAATATAGACAATGCATCACACTTTATTTGTATTAATTTAGGTTTAAATTATAAAAAAAAAATTTAAGGCCCAATACTGTACCGGTGAAACGTTCATAAACACTTTGTTAAATGTGTGTCGATCGCTCTCCAACACACTCAATCAGACTCAAAATATTTATATTGTAGAAGGAATCTGATGAGCTATGAAGCTCTTTTTGACAAATGTCCAGTCGGGGTACGAGGTCAGAAAGTTACAACAACAACAAGACAAAAACACGATAGTGCAAAGTACACCAAAGGTGAACCAGTCACGACAATAAATAAACAAATGCAAATAAATCAAGTTTATGAGTACAAATTGGAAAGTCTATTAATTCCGGCCGATTTTTCAACAATAAATGCGAGCTTGGACAAGGCAGCAAAACAACAACAACAGTCCCAGGCCACAGCAACACAAAACACGGTCCCTCAATATACTTGCACACTACAATTTAACTTTTGAACACTGGTGTGCTGAAGCATGAATACATTGTCACGTTTGTTACTCACGTGACAACTTTGTCTATTTGGTTGAGTCGGGTGGAGGAGGTTGCACGACACACTTTGGCATTTTAGTCACACGATGATCTGACCCAACAATCAATTATGAATCGAGATCATAAAGGATTTGTTTAATAATAGCGGAATTTCAGATCAGTGTTGCCCAATAAACATTTGTTTAAGCAAGTCTACCTTTTTGTTTCATTGAGTGCCATTAAAATATACGTATATAGTGAACCTCCCAACAGTTTAACAAGTAGTCTTTCGCGACCATTATTATTCATAATAAAGGGTTATTTGGGTTAGAGCGCGTAAATATAACCCACCACCACTCGACACAGCCACTTATTAAGATTTTACTTCTCATTCTCTTTTCCATGAATCCTATTATCTGCAAGGCCATGGGAACAGAATACGCCACACGTATCAACTGTGATGATCCAGTGGAAACCTGGCCATTATTTATTCGCTTAGAAGTGGCAGTGCATCCCCACATTGTTGCTCTTAAGAAGAGACACACTGTGTCTGTTACATTGTTAATGATCCCTTCTTACATTTCATCCCATCATGCCTGCATTCTCAAAACTGCACTGTCTTGGAAATGTGTTGCAATTCCACCCTGTATAAAATCATTGATTGTCAATAGAACCGCGAGGTAGAAATTCCGTGAAGCATTTTAATGGCGAGCCTTTGTAAAGCATCTAAGTTTTGTAAATGTTATTGCCGTATGTTAATATCTGTGTACGTGAGCACGAACACATGCACACAGAAAGTGCACCAAGCTTGGCACAAGCGCCGCAGTGACGTCACGTCCACTTGGTGGTGAACGGCGGTTGTGGTTGTTGCACACACGTGTACTTGTGCACGTGTGTGCACTTACCTGGCAATGTCCTAGGCCTGAAGTTCCTGGTGCGGTTGTGTAACGACATGGGACTGAAGGAGGCCCAGGAGTACGCCACTAAGTTGAAGCGTGCTGAGAAGGCTCGGGACGTCAAGGAACAGGCAAGGGCATGCGTTTGCAGGGTTGCGTGCCCGCACGTTTTTATACACCCGAGCACACTCAGAAGTTGCTATAATTTTCATCTGCGTGGGAGTGATGTTGCCACAGTGTCTGCCGTGGACTCGATACACCCTAAGATTACGTAGCTAAGGGAGTATTAGGAAGCCACTGGAGCGATGCACTTTTAACTCGGGAGTGAAAACTCATTTCTTGATAGCTGCTTTTTGTATTTAGTTGTCCTCCCGCACCTCCGATGAGCACAGTTGACTACGTACAGTGCGAAATAAGTTCAGCATTAATACATACGTACATTGTTTTAATGGAAATGACAGAAAGGACCCACATTTTGTATATTTTCAAACAAAATGCATCTAAATATTGTATCGATTTTGTGAAATCGTAAGAAATGATATATTATAACATTTCGGTTCAATGTAAACACCTGTTTTGTTCGGGCCTGTCGGAGGAGAGGTTGAGCAGTAATTTGTGTGGTCGCGTGCACACCTCTAAACTATTACTTTGGAGTCAGGATTGGTGTAGTGGCCAGATTTCATTCTGTTCAACCATACTGCCAGACTTGCTGAGCTGCTCGATGACCAGGAGATGGCAGCACAGAAAATGGGTTTGTGACAATTCAGTGTAAGGCTTTGGCATGTAGTATGTATGTAGAATTTCTTTCGACACCGTACGTCGCCAACCGCACTAATCGGAGGTGCGGGGGAAGGACAACAAACTAAACACAAACAGCACTTTTAAAGAAATTAGTTTTCAATCTAGATTTAAAAGTGCAGAGCTCCAGTGGATTCCTAATATCGAAAGTAAGAGCCTTCCAGAGGGCCGCAGAAGCGCGTCATGTGCATTGGTTTTCTTCTTGTGTCTTGATTTCCTCTGGCATCAAAACAGACATCAACATTAGGAATTGGCCAAATAAAACAAATGACAAATTGCGGACCAATGCAGTCTCTTCCTTAAACAGTCTTGAGATTCAGTGAGGCTTCCCTGCATCTGTATAAATCAAGGATAAAAATTTATATTATTATAATTTTGGCTGTACGCTTATAAACATGTCCTGTTTAGGTTTGCAAGTTCAACGTATTTATGGAGCAATTATAAGTGGGAAATGTTCATTTTTATTATGGCCCTGAAGGTCATTGGGAGAATTCCACATTCCTCTGATGGGGGCCAGTCGCCTCCCCATAGGACAATGCTGTGTTTTGTCTCGTAAGTTTGGCCGTATCTTTGGTGATTTACTGCAGCATGGCGGTCATGTTAATGACCACAAATACATGGCACACTGTTGTTGACCCACAACCAGAATTTGAACTCGCAGGCTTTCTGTTTGAATGAGCATCCTTGCCACAGTGGCACACAGTCAGGTTCTATGAATCATTTCGTGCGTGCTGTGTTGTGTGTGTGCTTTACAGCGAGTGAAGTCTGGGCGTGTTGGGAGTGGTCGGACGCTGAGGGAGGGCAGTGCAGGGAGTGGTGAGTACTCTGACAACCCCACTGTTGATTCATTCAAAGATCTTTGCTATCCCACATACAACTCAAGAATAAAAAGCAGTGCAATGATGAGCACTTAACTAAAAACCAGCAAACAATCCTCACTCCCGAATGCAAGTTTATTCATTGAGAGGGCGTTGTGACCTTTCATTGAAAATAAGCAAAACATTTTAGCGTGAGGGAACTAATAAATCGGTGACCACTTCCACATCGCCACCCAGGCTGGGTACTGCACACCAGCATCCACCCATTGCGGTGAACAAATGAATGTGCACACAGATGTATGTAGTCACGAGATGGTGCCATCAAATTGATTGTACTGCACACATAACAGTTGAATATAAGATAAAACTAAACTATCTTTACTCTTTTATTCTTTCGGTAAAGTCACGTAGGTTTAAAATAAAATAAATAACTACGTTTTGATCGCAACACAAGTGGTCGTCCTCAGGCGGATTGGTCTTATTGTTTAGAGAAGTCGATTTAGTGATGATATTGTTGGTTTTTGTGGCTAGGCGGTTGGTGGGATCTCTGTTGATTTTGTGTTGCTCTGGCTTCTTTAGAATCCAGAGCTTCTTTAGAAGCCAGAGCCACACGTTAAAAAGTTAGATGTTAACAAGATTGTCATCAATTAGAGTAACATCCCAATTCCTGACAGCCTAAAATCGGTACTAGTGAAAGGGTTGAATTTCTCAGTCACCCCTAAACATATCCCAGTGGATGATATAATCGCCCAGATCGACGTAGCCCTCGAAGGCTTGGGACACATCCCGGTAGACGTTGCTAGATCTGAAATCGCTGCTCTCCTCAAAAACGCTAAGAATCCCATTAGCAACATCAGCACGGACGAGCGTTTTTAACTCTCTAAATTAAAAAAACAGAGATGACATTGTCATCCTCTCAGCCGACAAGGGCAATGCCACTGTCACCACGGATACAACCACTTACAACAACAAAATTCAGTACCTTCTTAATGATGGCAGCTATACCAAAATCATCAGATCCCACCAACCGCCTAGCCAAAAAAAACAACAATATCATCACTAAATCGACTTCTCTAATCGATCAGACCAAGCCGCCTGAGGACGAGCTCTTGTGTTGCGATCGAAACGTCGTGATTTATTTTATACCTATGTGACTTTACCGAAAGAACTAAAGAGTATGGATTTCTGCAGTCATGAAAGCTTAAAATCAAGATTAAACTATATTTATTTTATCAGGTAAGGCCCACTGAGCTATCAAGCTCTTTTTCAGAAGCAACCTGGCCACAAATGATAGCTCAACGAAGTGGCTTATCAAGTAGAAATTTATAGCAGTCATATACTCTAAATGCATGTTTCTAAATGTGGAGGGAAAACCCGGAGAAAATATACAGGCATCAGGGTCAAAATTGAACTCACGACCTCCTATATACAAGGCGATGTAGTTAACACCTCGCCACCGTAGCGCCCCGTAGTAAGCACAGAGAATACACTCAAGACAAATGCATGTGGCAGAGGCCACACACTTGTAAGGATGATTATAATTATGGCAGCTGATTGACTCTGGAAGCCAGACATATACACTGAGAGTACAACAACAACAACACCCACAAAATTCAGTTTCAGTTCAGTTTCATGTATTAGGTATAACCCTGTGAGCCATGCGGCTCTTGACTCGGGTGCAACCGCAACAAACAAAAATATGAACAAGAAACATCTTAAAGTGACTACACGCAACAGAAAAATCCAGGAAAAAACAGCAAAGTCTTTCAGAAAAAACACTGTATTTCAACGCTGTAAACTAAGTTGCCTACGTTTCTCCAAACACGCAGTGGAATGGTTAAAAAATTACCTCTCTTCTCTCACCCAAACTGTATTCATAGATGGCTGGAGGTCAAACTGTGTTAAGATAACAAAAGGAGTTCCACAGGGCTCCATCCTTAGCCCCCTTTTGTTCTCTCTTTATGTCAATGACTTGGGCACTGACCTGGATCATTCCAGGGTAAATCTTTTTGCAGATGACACGATACTGATTACTGCTGGCCGCTCTCTGGATGACGTGATTGCAAAGCTCCAGGGTGATTTCAACAAACTACAACATTAGCTAGTTGCTCTTTAACTAGTCCTGAATACCTCCAAAACCAAGGACTAGAGCAGGAAGTTATTTTCCCCAATTACATTCCTTAAATAATTATCAAATAGAGCAAGTCAAGAGCTATAAGTATATTGGGGTCATCCTTGATTCAAAACTGAATTTTAAAGATCACATTGATAATATTGGTAAAAAGACAAAAAGAGAAATTGGTTTTCTGTATCGACACAAGCACTGCTTTCCCCCTATGTTCCTTTTGGAATTGACAAAAGTTACCATACTGCTTCTACTTGATTACTGTGACATCATATATAAATCAGCCCCCAGTACTGTACTGAAGAAGCTTGACTCAATTTATCACTCGGCCTTAAGATTTGCATTGAACTGCCCATATAGGACCCACCACTGCGATCTCTACATTGGGTCAAACTTAACATCTCTTAATGATCGACGGCTTGTGCATCAGATCTTATTTATTCACGATGTACTTATAAAAAAGCAGACTACCTGCTGGATCTCCTCACTGTTTCGAAGAACAAATGTGACCTAAGGTCTTCGCTCATTTACCAGCTTCACATTCCTTATTGCCATACAAATACTGGACGAAGGGCCTTTGCTATTGATGCCCTCAGGGTCGGAAATACTATCGTCAATAAACTGTAACTTGGATCACTACCTGTGAGATCTTCACTCAAAAATCTCAGTGGGATGCAAGTTAAACAATAACAACCATAAGACAATTTAGATCTTAAATATAAGAACTGTATCCTGTGGCGAGATCTGAATCCTGAGACCGGACAATTACACTAAAACATAACGAGTAAAAGTTAAAGCGAAATCAATGTATTAATCACGATTGGTGATACTACCCTAGACAACGAAGCCGAGCCTAAGTGTATACATTTGCATAATTGCATAAAATGATTTACTTTTTCATTTTTGTGGACACAATATATACAACAATCTACCCCATCCGCCCACTCACCAGCCGGCCGGCCTCGGTGTTGTGCAAATTCATCTGGCCGAGCTTCGCCAAAGACTCCCATCCTCCTCGTCGCCTCCTGCGATTGCGTTCGTGCGCATCCACAAACCACCTGGCGAATCAGTATCCACTTTCGACGTCGTCTGTGGAGCCGCCCCTCCGGGCGAAGAGCGGCAGGTTCATGGTGTCGGGAACGACCCGGGAGCAGTTGCCCTGCAGCGCCCTTGGCGGCTGGCGCGCGCCACCGCGTGGACCACTCCGGCGGCGATGATGGCGGAGACGAGGGCGGCTTCGCGCGTGCCCTTCTGAGCCACGGGGTCGAGCGTGTCCTCCGCGCCGGGCGTGGTGCAATTCCACCGTTTGGCCCGGAACTGGTGCTGACACTCGGCGAGCGCTAGCCGGGCGCCCTCGGCCACGTGCACCACGTGGTTTGGGTGCTGCAGGCATGTTTTGCGCTGTCTGGGGGATAGCCCCGGCGCCACGATGCACAGCAGCCGATACTCAGGGTCGAAGTTGGGGGCCCACAGTGCCAGCGACCACCAAGAGGCGCTCGCGACTGCCCACAGCTGTGCGAAGGCGCAGAGTCCCAGCAGGGAGCAGCTCCTGCGTCGCAGGGGACCCATCGGAATCCTCGTGGCGAGCGGCGTGCATGTGATAGCCACAGATCTTATGAGCTGTTATTGCAGAGTCATAATGTCTTGTTCTTTCATATCCAAGTTGAATGTAATCATGTTACCTTGTTGGTTTACCCAACGGTGTCCATCGTTACCAAAAAACCGCACCTCTCTTCGAAAAAAAAGCCACGGTTTTCACAAAAAAATACTAAAAGGCGGAGGAGGAGGAAGAAGAAGAATGCAAAAACAAACTTAAATAATAATTCGTTGCGTTTCGAAGTTTAGCGCGGACATTTAAACGGCAATCTCTTAGATTCCAGCGACGTAAACCATGGTGCTTGTGCCAGGATAGGTGCAAGTTGAGTCCACGTGAAGTGTGGAAGGCTTGCTGGTAGGAAGTCACGGGACAGACCCAGGTGTTATGGGTTTGATAGACTTAGATGATTGGCAGAGTTATAAAGCAAAATATCTGTCAGTCATCTAAGTCTGTCAACCCATACCGATATTCAGGCAGGAGGGAATGCGCACGAGTATAACATTTGTGTATGGCAGCCATCAGCATGCTCCAATTAATACTAAACAATGCCACTTCATACCCATCACCAATGAGGAGTTTACAAAACTAAAAACAAAACTCTTCAAAAGTGTCAGCAACCTACACTACTTCATAATTTCCACACCCCCTCTCGTGTTCCAAAGTGCCTCTTTCACACAGAAATCTGCAGTTTTCACAACCCCTATGTGTAATTATCTTTTCTGCTAGGGTCTTACGTAGAATTTTGTTAAGGGCGAGTATAACTTTTGTCAAGAGTTGTTTTGAGTTCAGTATAATTGTTATGCTCCTGAACCTGGTTCTCAGTTTACGCCAACATAATTATTTTCATTATTGCCGCTAAAGTAGGTGTTACATTAACATGTGAAGTATGGGAATTGACGGCAGGAACTTCTTGACGGGAACACACTTTTTATTAAATCTTTACGTGTCAAAATACAACGTGTAGTCTCCGTTCTTCCGACTTCACACTCCACTACTCTCGTGTAAACTCTAGGCCTCTGGCTACACACGATACCCTTCACTCGTGTAGACCCTACGCCTCTGGCTACACAATACACTCGACTCGTGTAGACCCTATGTCCCTGGCTACACAATACACTCGACTCGTGTAGACCCTATGTCCCTGGCTACACAATACACTCGACTCATGTAGACCCTATGTCCCTGGCTACACACACTGCATTCGGCTCGTGTAGACCTTACGCCTATGGCTACACACACTACACTCGCCTCTGGGTTACACAGAGTCCCGGTCCCG